CCTGGGAGGACACGGGCCACTGGCCCCGCTGGGGACAGGACCTGGGCACCTACCGCTCGCTCTGGGGCATCCCTGCAGGACGGACCCAGCACAAAGATAGGGAGATGGATCCCCACGGGAAGCGGCCCCGGAGCCCAGCCTGGGTGCTCTGCCTGCGTCCCCAGCCCATATCCCCAAGGCCATTTAAGCATGCCTTGGGGCTTGACGCACACCTTATCTGCAGGGTGAGCCCTCCATCCCAAGGGCAGAGCTCACCGATGGGGAGAGGAGCCCCGCAGCCCTCCCCAGCCTCCCGGTGCCACTGGGGGCTAGAGCCCACCCTCAGGCTGTTCCCGACCCCCCTGGAAAAGCAGCGTGGTGGGCAAGCGGGCGCCCTCGGCTGCTCTACCTCGCTCCAGGTGAAGCTGTGCAGCCCGCCGTCCTCAGGCCGCTCGCTGTTCAGGAGGGTGCCGAACCGGGGGGGCTCGAGCACCCTGAACTCCACGCCGAGAGCCGTGTAGTGGGCGTTGGGGATGTTGAGGATGCCCGTGGAGAGCGTAGCAGAGCCACCTCCTGGCACCGTGATGTTGCGGACATCCAGGGGGATGGTGATGGGGAGCACGGCCAGGCTCACCACCACCCCCTCCAGCGGGTCTGCACCGCTGGCCGTGATGTCCACGACAAACTGGTCATGGTCCTCCTCTGGTTTGGAGTGGAGGTAGAGGACTCTGTCGTTGTTGATGTCCTCCTGAGTGAAGGACTGGATGGGGTCCAGGCTGGGCTGCTCGTTCGGGTCTTGGCCATGTTGAAGCATTGCCAGAAAGCCAGAGGCTGGGGGGCTGCTCACCAGGTAGACTATGTCCTGGGGAGGGATCTCTTCATGGGCCACCTGGGAGTGTGGGGGGAGACAAGGCATGAGTGGGGGGCTGGTGCCTGCGAGGCTGGGCTGCCCCACAGACCACCGCTGTGCAATCTCCCGAGGCTTTGCTGTGGCATGAGCTGCAAGAGTCACCTTCTTGCCGAGGCCATGCCTGAACGCCCCCCTCTGCCCCTGGGCAAAGCCTGACATGGGCACGAGTCCTTTGCTCTGGGCAGGTGGGTGTAAAATGGAGTCCCACGGGTGGCCGTCCTGGTTTGGCGGCCAGGAAAGTGATGCGGGCTTGGGGAATGATTAGAGAAGGGGATACTCACCAGTAGGTACTCCTCCTTGATCCCAGCTGCTTCCCCCTGGAAGACATGCATCTCCTTGTGGTTGACTATGCGCAGGGGGCTGGGATGGGTGTCCAAGAACACGCTGATGGCCAGCGTGTCCTCCACCACCACCTCATTTGCTTCTACGGTGAACTGGAGCTCATCCCGAGTGTTCCTGCTCCCGTTGTGGTGGTAGGAGATCTCTCCTGCTAGCAGGTCCCTCTGGGAGAAGGCCATGACTGGCTGCTCCCCTCTCAGCACAGTCCCCCACCTTGGGGGGGTTGTTATCAGGAACCGTATCTCTTCATCTGACCTGATGTCCATGTTGGTCTCCAGGCTGAGGACAGAAGAGTCAATTCTCCCTCGGCTCCCTTGGTGGATGACTAGACCGGTGTTGTTGACTATTTTGATGTAGGGGTCTGATGCCTGTACTTCCAGGAGGGCTGTGGTTTGGTGGAGGCCATCTGAGACCTGTAGCTGGATCCAGCCCCGGTCAGCCCCCGAATGGACAAAAAGGATTTTCTTCTTCCTCAGGTCATCCTGTGTGAACCGATAGACCTGGTGGCTTCTGTCATCGACGGACACGATGCTGCCAAACAAAATGTCCTTCCTTGCCAGCACCAGCTGTGTGTCAGAGAAGCCAGAGTCCTTGTCGGTGAAGGCAATGTCATCTGTTGTCAGCAGGTGCTGCCCATTGCGCACCACGTTGAACACCTTGTTGACTACTTGGACCGGGGTGTGGTCATTGACGGGTTGGATGGAGACCCTGAAAACACCCCTCACCTCCTCCACATCGGACTCAGCGCTGCCCTCGCCCTGCCTGATTGCTACGAAGGGGATGTCGTCCTCCAGTGTCTCAGAGTCATCGTGCTGGTACAGCAGCCGGCGGTGGAGGATGTCATCATTGGTGAACTCCGTGATCTCCCCTCTGGAGGCCCAGGCATGGGACGCAGCCCAGGCCAACCTCCCATGTGCTGGCCCCTCAATCACTTCATAGATGTAGTCCATGCTGTTCATGCTCTGTACAAACAAGTGGTCCTTGGAGATGACGGCTTGCCCCCCTTCCGGCACGATCAGGAGGACGTTGGTCAGGGCTGGCGCGTCGGGGTCCCCACCAATGCTGATTGTGTAGGTGTAGACGGGAGAGTGCTGCTCACCAGCACGGACACGAAACTGGAAGGTGTCCTCGGCTTGCTGGGAGTTCCTGATGGTTGCGCTGTAGCTCAGATGGTTTCGTTGCAGGTCGTCTTGGGTAAATCCAAAGCCTTCAGTCAGCCTGTTGCCGAGCAGCTCCAAGTTTCCCTTTTTGGGGGCCTGGATTATCACATAGTGGAAGGGGACTGGGGCAGAGTTTGGATCTTCCAGCATTGCCTCCAGCTCCTTACTGGTGATATTTCTGTGCCGCTTGTTCTTCATCTGGAGGGGGACCATGGTCCTCATCTTAATGGTGGCTCTTTTAATCCTTATGAGAAAGGTGTTGTTTGGCAAGACCTTCTGCCCCACCTGGACTTCAAATCTCAGCTTCTCCACGACATCTTCTAGCCGGTGCTCTGTGTCTGTGCTGAAATACTGGATGCGCCCTTGCTCCAGGTCTTGCTGGTGGAAGGACTCGACTTTTTTCCATTCCCCTCCCATGCTCCCTTGCTTCTGGACCTCACCATACCTTAGGGGCTCCGTGAGGACATAGAGGATGGCAACCCGTTGTTTCACGGCGTTTGTCTCCACTGACAGGTTGGCTGTGGTAATGCGTGCAGCCCCTCCTTGGGAGATGGAGAGGCCGGTGTTATTGTGCAGGCGGATGTCAGGGTCAATGGCGAGGATCCTCAGGGTGGCAACGGGGCTTGGGACTGTGCCGTCGCTCACCTGCAAGGTGAGCTGTAAGTTTGTCCCGCTCTGGTGCACGTAGACTATGTTGCCTGCTTCCAGGTCCCGACAGGAGAACTCTTCGATGGGCACTCCAGGCTGGAAGTCATATTCCATGTAACCTTCCTCCATCTGCTGGCCACCATGCAGCTGGAATTCGAGGTCATCACAGGATGTGTCGTCATCTAGAACCTGCAGGATGTCCGTGGTCAGGTGCTTCCGCGTGTGCTTCAGGATTGTCATGTGGTTCCCATGGGGAAAGATCACCTGCGGGGCATCGTTGATGGGGTTGATCATGATGGGCAGCAGGTACATCTGCCCCTGCCGCAAGCACTCGGGGATCCCTTGCTGGGCAGTTACTGTCACCTCCAGCATCAGCTGATCCATGGGTCCCTCGGAACCATCGTGGACATATCTGACTTTCCGATTCACAATGTCCAGCAAGGTGAACTTCCTTCTGCTCCTGGACCCAGGAATATCCAGCTCCAGCTGGCCGTGCCTAGGGTCATTGGTGATGCTAAAGAGGACTTGGGACTGCCGTATGTTTGCAAGGCTCAAGTCTACCGTTGGCTGGGCGTGTTTCCACTCCAGATAGGCCGTGCCCCCTTCAGAGACGATGAGGGGGCTGACGTGCAGCAGCCTGCTGATGTTGGCGAAGGCGGGTGGGAAGCTGTTGTCTGGCTGGCAGGGTTCCACCACCAGGCCCGGTGCTCCTGACCAGACATCCGGAGGCGGGGAGGTGGGTGCCTCATCCTGCTCGTATGCCTCATCATAGTCCCAGTAGTGCTCCTGCTTTCCACAGCCTGGTGTGATGTCCTTGGTGACCACAGCATCTTGCAGACTCCTCTTCTGCAGGTTTATCCGCAGGTCCTCCAAGCAGCCAACAAACGAGTTGTTGGTCATGGTCCACACAGAGATGAAAGCAAGATGATGCTCCCTCAGCCTTTGCAAAGCCTTTTTGTTCATACCCCCGATGAAGAGGTTTCCCTGAAGGTCCAGGTAGTTGTTGATGCCCCGGTTGGATGTGGATGAGGCGTAGTAATCGATCAGGATCTCAAACTTGTGGATGTCTGTGTAGACTTTGACATAGTGCTGCTGCTCATCGCTGATGAAGACGTTGTTGTGCAGGACGATGATGCCGTTCCCCTTCTCAACAAACCCCCTCAGGCGCCCATTGGAGATCTCCAGGTAGAAGAAATCATTCTCCAGCCCTGCGTGGTAGATGAGGGGTGCCTGGGTGATGCTCGTCGTTATCACAAACTCAATGGTTGCTTCCTCCCTCGCGTCCCACGTGGGAAATGCAATGTAGGAGTGTGGTCCCAGGAACCCGAAGGGTTCCTCGGGCTCAGCAGAGAACTGTGTGCTGCACCCTTCCTGGACCCGGTGGAAGATCTTGGAGCTGCCGTCAGAGGACAGAGGGGAGAGGACATCCAGGCCATTGAATGTCACTAAGTGGAGGCAACCTCTGAAGGGTGAGCTGGCCTCGGCGAGGTACGGCAGGTCAAGACTGCCTGTCCCACCGGCATAGAGGCCGTACTGGATGTCCAGCTCCTGTACGGGCCCTGTGATGTCCACGGAGCTGTTGAAGAGGCCGTCGATGGTCAGCATCATTCTGCCATCTTCCACCAGCAGCTCCACGTCGTGCACCGCCAGGTTATTGAGCTGCAGCTCTGCTGGGGACTGCAGCGTCACCTCCTCTGAGCCCAGCTGCAGCCTGGCCTGCAGGGGAAGGACACGGAAAGTGCTCAGCTCAAGCAAGTGTTATCTGCAGCACAGGAGACACCTCACCACCTACCAGAAATACCTACCGAAGCGTGGCCTGTTCCTGGGGGCTCCCAAGTGTTTTGGTCCCTCTGATTACTGCTGTTCATCCTTCCCCCTTCCTCCTCTGTGCACGTTCCTCCCTCCCCAGATAGATTCCCCCCTCCATGGGCATCCCTTCTCTGTCACTCATCTCAGCAAACCCCAGTCTCAGGGCTATTTCCCCGAGGTCCCAGTCCCACAGCTGGGTTTTTCCTCTCCCCGCCCTACAGAGGAACCCTGCCAGATGCCGGCTCTTCTTTCCCAGCTCCATCCTGCCCGCTGCCCTCCATCCCATCAACCCGGGCTGCTTCCAGCCCTTGCCCTGGATACTGGCAGGGGAAATAGTAGGCTTTGCTGCTGCAAGCAGCAGCCTGGAGCCCGCCCAAGTAGAGGGTTAGCTGATGGACCTTGAGACACATGGTCTGCATTAGGGAGACCTCTGGCCAGCTGCTTGCTCGCTCTCCTGCTTTGGTTTAGATGTGGTTGGTGGCCCAGCCCAGTCTGCAGGAGAGGCAGGATGTGTGCCTCAGATGCTCCCTGCTCTTTTCCTTCATGGTGGGTGCCAAGACCATAACCACAAGAGGGTATTTTATTCTTCCATCCCTTCCCACACCCTAGTTGGGCTTGGCCCACGGTGGGCTGGGGGAGTCCGGGTGTCTCCACAATGTTCCCCAGCATCACCCCAGGCAGTGGATGAGGAGCTTCTTCAGCCTGCTTCTCTGTATTTAACAGATTCTCCCAAGACTCTGCCCACTCTCCTCTTGAGCTCTTAAGGTCCCCTGGCAGGGGTCTTGGCAGCTTGGCCATCCATGATTGCATCTGGCCCTGTGGGCTGCTCTTTTCGGGTGCTGCCCCTTCATCCTTGCGCTGGATGAAGCCCTGACCCATGGACCCCAGCCAGTCTGGGGGGAGCAGGGTGTCGGGATGCTGACCTGCAGGCTGCCGGCTCGCAGCTGGAGCAGGAGGTGGTCGGGCTGGCCGGCGGCCCACCGCCTGCGAGGCATCCGCCAGCGGCATCTCCACAAAGCCGTCCCCAAAGAAAGAGGCTGTGGAGGAAAAGGAGAGAGGGTCAGGCAGGGAAGGACATCCCCCCCCCTGCAAGCCTTGTCTGTGTGGGTGCCGTGAACCTGGAGCCCCTCGAGCCCGTCCATCAGTCCTTCCCCTCCTGGGCTCCCCGTTTGCCCTGTGACAACGTGCTGGAGCCTGGCAAGACCCTCAGGGGAGTCTGTGTTCCAAAGGGAAGGGATTTCTAGGGGCTGGGGGCATGGAGGCAGATGCAATCCCTGCCAATACAGCAATTAAAGGATCCTTCCCCCCTCGTTACATGGCCAGGGGAGATGACGTAGCGTGTTGTCGGGCCGAGTTCCTGAGCATTAGGAGGTGAGCTGTTACCCTAACGAGTCTTTCCCACTTCTGCCGCAGCCACCTCCCTTTGGAGGACCTCCCTTTGGAGGAGAAGGACCCCTTCCTGAGGCGGCTGTTGTGCCTTGGCTGGATTTCCCAGCCGGCGTCGATCGCCGCCGAACGCGGAGATGCTGCGCGAGGATGCCGCGGGGGCAGCCAACGCCGTGCTGCGCTCCTCTCCCTATTTTTACACCGTTTCCTAACAGCTTTCCATATCATCCAAACATTGCTGACGTTCACCCCGGAGGTGGCCGCTGGAGGAATAAACACGTGTGCCTGTGATCCATATGTGGATGTGAGGCAGGACGGAAACATCGGCTCAAACGGGACGCACGGAGCTGCAGCTGGAACGCGTTCAACGCCCGGTATACATCAGTCTTAACAGGGACTCAGCGCAATGGCATGCGGTCATGCAATGAAAGACTGTGTCACAGGGCATACGAGGGAGAAGGCAGAATTAAAAGCACAGGGAGCGGCGAGGCTTAATTTTAGAGTTCTTGCAGTTCTTTGCTGGCTCCACGCACGCGTGTGCTTTGCACAAACATGTGCGTGTGCCCGCGATGCGCGGCCGCCCGTCCCGGTTAGCTCCGGAGCAACCCATGGCAAAGTTAACTCTGCGCTGGCAGGGTCGTAAATGTTTGGGGAGGGTATGTCAGAGGGGTGAGCGTGCGGCGCTTTTGGTCCATATGTAGTCACAGTCTGGAGTTTATACGTGCGGAGCTTGCCTGTTAGGCTTCACCACCGCACTTTGGCATCAGACCCACGCTCGGGTTTGGGGTCCCGCTCACGGTTTGTTGAGGTGCCACAGGGCAAGCGAGGACGAGGCTTTGGCTTCTGCCAGGGTCCTAGCCCAGCCCCTGCTCACTTTTGGAGGAGGCAGGGATGGAGGTTGGGCGCTGGGGTGAAAGCGACCTCCTGCACGGCGAGGTCTGGGTGGCAACACCCACGTGTGCTCCTACAGCTGCTTCCCGGGTTGTCCCTTTGCAACTGAGCCGCAATTTCTGTTCCCCCCGCTCCAGCAAGCGGGCTTTGCTCGTGGGTGAAAACCCGAGTGAAAAAACAACCAGCCACAGTCACAGAGGGTTTGAAATGAGCCCGCTGTTAAAGGTGACGGTGAGAGTTGGCCTGACACGGGCAGAGGTGCAGCACTCTGCTTGGGTTCGTTGCATTTTCCTCTGAGCTGAGCTCTGCAGTGTCCTCCGGGGAGGATGGAGAGACCTCCCTGCCCAGCCCCCCCCCAAAAAAAAATCTTTCCCTGCCGCTGGCAACCGAGAAAGTGCCTTGGCTTTCTCCTAGGACCTGGGGAGAACAACATGGGTGTTGCAAGGACCGTCACCCCACCCGCTCTGGGCAGAGAAGAAACGGCACCATGGAAATATCTAGTCCTT